TCTCCCCAAAACCCCAAAACCCCAAAACCCCAAAACCCCATTTTGAAAAATAAAAAAGTAAAAGTACAGATAATTAATTTTTTTATTTTTGAGTAGATAATTTAATATAAATATACATCCTTTACATAATAAAATGTCTAAATCCATTGTATAATCAAGACAGCTAATGGAGCATATGCATGAGTGCAAAAAGGAAAATTAAGAAAAGTTGAGGCAGGTTAGGAATCTTGAAGATTTGGTAAAGTTCAAAGTAGCTACTGTAGTTGATAAAATCAAGGAATCCAACGATATGAGAGATATGAAGGGTCTTGAGATATTTTAGAAAATATGTGACCCCCTTTTAGTTAATCAACATTACCCCTAACTGACTAAGAAAGCTTATTTACCAAATTTAAATGGTACAAGGCCTAATAAAAGCCAACAAAGGGAGGACTTTACAATGAATAGGCCAATTTAAAGCAAGACTTCGCTGCCTTAATTGCCAAATCCTAAAAATGAAATCAGGTTTGATCAAATATTTGGCGATAAGCTCTACAGCTAGATTCAGATACAAAACAGTAAAATCCAAGATGATAGCTATAGTGACGCTGCAAATAAAAACATGATCTTAAACCGAAGAGGAACATCTGAGAAAGAAGCAGACCCTGTCAAATTTCTTCAAGACTATTTTAAACCAAAAAGCAACCAACCTATAAGAAGACCTTCTAATATAAATTATGTTATGGCAAAGTATGAAAGGAAAAACTTAGAGAGTAAAAAGACTAGCTTCATTCAATAATAGCAGATCTCAGTTGAAGAGAGCTTGATGCAGGAGAGCTCTTATAAAAAGCTACCCAATAGTGCCAGCAGTTAAATGTTTGCTTAGAATCAAAGCTAACTTGCCAATGATAAGTTGCAAAGAGAAAGAGATAATATCTAGTCTTAATAACCATACAGCACTTAACAGCACCAAAGATACTAGTAGCATGATAACATGAAAAATGATAGTTATAATTAATTGCAATATTTGGATAATAAAAATAATCCCTAGATGATGAGTCAATCCTCAGCATTAGAAGGTGTGGCTTCTACCTATTCCTTCAAACAACCAATTAAAAAATAATTTAAGGAAGACTTCAACCTAGGATCAAATGCCTCCCTGGTTTAGAGGAGAAACAATACAAATGGCATAAATTTAGACTTCATTCAGGAGTAATCGATTAATGTACTTAACTTTCAAAAAATGAAAGAGGAACTAAACCTTATGTTTGATAATGAGCATATCAATATTACTAATATGAAATCCTCTTAGAAAAGACCCACAGTTACATATAGCACTCAAAACTAATAGGAGTCAGATACTTATAGAAGACATATCAGCTTTAAGAGTATGATCTAAGATAATTACATCAACAGTCACAAAGCCGCTAATGGAGGTGTTGTGAATCAGACAATGATGAACTAGATGAGTTATTCAAACAGTGAGGATGAAGGTAATCATGATAACTTGATTGGCGAAAAGACTTAGTAACTCATTAACTCTATCAATAAGAGTTTTGATGTCAAAGCTATAAATAACCAGTAGTTTGTGGACACAACTGATAAAAAGATTAGAAAGATCTTTAAGAATGAGATATCTAGAGGTGTTAAGCCTTCAAAGCTGACAAATATCTAGTAAGTCAAATCAATGGGCTTTGATCACTTCTCAAACAATATCAAGTCTGAGCTAGTAAATAAGTTTAGACAGCAGCAAATTTCTCAGCTGAGTAGATACCAGATGGATTAGCCACAGAATAGCCATTTCATAAATGAAAATTCATCCTAGCAAGACCAGACTCAAGGCATTAATTACAAGCCTATGGGAAGTGAAATATCTATGGAGCTGTAAAGTTAGTCTTAGTTTGTGAGTAGTCTGAGTAAGCCAGTCTCTAAGAAAAAGGATCCCAAGCAAACTGAGATAAACAAAGAGATTATGATATTTAACAGGGGAAGAGATATAAAAAGACTGTAAGATAATTTCAAGAATATTAGGAAATTAGATGAGAGCAAAGCATCTAATGCTGCTGGTTCTGATAACTTATCTAACTAGATTAGAAAATCGTAAAAGGCTAGCAAGCAGCAAGTACTTACTAAGAGAGCAGGCTAATTTAAAGAGGATTTAGAATACAATGATATAATGAACAGAAATAAAGCTCTTGAGCTAAAAAATAAATCCGATCAACATACAAGTTAACTTTCAGAATCTCAGCCTCCTGAGACTGTAATGAAACATTTATATACCTCTCCACTTAGAGGTAATACTGATCTTCAAAATGAACTTAAAAATTCAAAGCACAACAAATCTGTTGAGCTATAGTAGGAAGAGGTTGACTAGATCACTCAAAAAATAGATGATGCCTTGAGAGAAACTCTAAGAGCTCATTAAAAGCTTTTAGATGAAAAAGCTGAGAAAAAACTTAAGGATAGTTCAAAGATATAATCTCCTCATAGTGAAACTAAATAATAGAGTGGAAAAGTCTCTTTTGTGAGGAAAGCTGATCAAAAAGAAAAGGACATCAGAGAGATTACACTTACTAATGCAGTTATATAGATACCATAGGAGTCAACCATATCTTCTAATGCGCAAATGAGTGGGCCTAAGATAGGCTAACTTTCAAGGAAAAATTCATAACTGCTTAAGAGCTAATAGCAATCAAAGAGACAGAAAATAGAACCAAAGAAAGCATCAGTAGATTTGAATGGATACTTGACCTCATAAGAGCATCCATTAGACTTAGCTACTTAGGATTTGTAGCAGCAGCTTATGGAGTATGCAATCATCAAGAGGAAGGCATGGAGTCCTAAACGATTTAAGAAGTTCCCCAGATTCACCATATTCCTAAACAGAGAAGAGGATACTGGTAAGGACTACTTGAAGGATAATATTATAAGTCTTAATCCTGAGTTTATGAATTTCCTTCTTAACTCAGCTAGTGCAGGAAACGTAGGAATCACATCATAGCAACTCTAGCATGATACAGTAGATAAAAAAGTAGGAGTTAGCTAAAATCTAGATCTACCTGACGATAGTTCTAACATGATAACTATAGAATCTCAAAAGTAATAAACTCAATAAATGGAATCTGAATCCCTAGCTTAAAAGCTTAAGAGAAACTATAAATACTAGGATCCTTTTGATAGAGTACTATTAACTAAAGGCATTGACAATCAAATTCTCACTTCCTTCAGAACTTTGACAAAAACAAATAACACAATGAGTGATACAATGAAAATTATTCACAATAGGTTCAATCCAATGAGCTTTTAGCAACACTTACTTCAGAAATAAAAGAGGAAACATCAGCTTTATTAAATAGATGAAGAATACACGATCTAGAAGTAGCCTTAAAGCAAGTATGAGAACAACTCCAATTCTCAAGAGGAAGAGAATAGAAATGAGAATGATGATGATAACCAGTCTATCGGAGACATTTATTCAATCAATAAAATCATGGCCATCAATAACAAGGATGTTAGTCATTCTGTCTCTTTAGACTCATCACCTGATCATTAATATAAACTCAACAAGAATCTCGGTAGCATCAATGCATTAAAATATAAAGATTCCAAGATTGAGAATAAGCATGATACTCTTAATAACAACATAGACAGCCAAGATGACTTAATGGGTGGAAGTAATGAAAAGAGCAAAAATACTATTGACTAAGTCCTCACTTAGAATTTGCAGAGTAAGGAAAATACTGAACTGCAAGTAACTCATAAAAGTATCAATAAGAACGATTTTAAAAGCAGTATCGAGGTTAGAAGATCCCTTGAGAGAGACAGAAACACTCATATGATTATCAGAGATCAGAGAGACCAAGGAACCTCATTTAAGCAACTATAACAGTAGTAATATTAATCTTAATAAAAACAATCACAAGAAAGAATTAATGCAAGCTATCACAGTGACTTTAATGATTCAATGGCTAAGCGAGAAAAATTTCAACTAAAGCAGCCAATTTAGCTATCAGGTAACCACTAAGAGACTGAAACAGACAAAGGTGATGATAGAGTCAACACTGACATAAATGAACTTATGAGAGAAGCTGAGAAGGTTAAGCAAAAAGAAAAGAAGCAAAGTAAGATGCAGTATCATCTATAGAGAGTAGATCCATCTGAAATGTTTGGGATGCAAAGAGTGTTGAAGGCTTAGGTTAATCCAGTTACATAAACTAACATATCACTTAAGAATCATGTCAGCTCAGTGTATGTCGAATCACAAAATTTAATAGATCCTTACAATACTTCGTCCGATACAGAGTAACCTATGTAAACAAAAAACTTCCCAGTGTCTAAAAAGAAGCCAATCAATCATGCAGGTGGCTACAAAGTTTCTTTAAAGACTTAAAACAATGAAAGGTCAAATTCATAGATGTCGAGAACCAATGCTGTTTAATTGTATGATAAAAAAAGCCACATGTAGCAGTCTCAAAACAACCCTGCATTAGGCGAACTTGAAAATGAGATTATCAACCTTAAGAAGTCAGACTTTATGGTGCTCAATGACTAAGAAAAGCAAGAATTTGCCAGAAAATTAATGTTCCCACCAGTCAATAAACTTAAGAATATGATTGATGAACTCTATCAAAAAGAAAAGAAATATGTCAAGCAGTATTTGAGAGAGGATTACATCGAGAAAAATAATTTCATATTTGAACTGAATAAAAGTCATTAACTTCACACAACTAAAGACGTTAAACACTAAAATGCTAGTGTTATGACTCAAAATAATAAGCCTCTTAATGGATTTTTAATGGGAGATGGTACTGAATAAATTCAAATCACTTCTAGATATAATGAATCCAACATGCTCGGCAGCAACTAGTACAATAGAAATTGAGATCCTGTCAATATTACATATTAATAATTATATCATTTATATTATAATTTCATAAATTCCTTAACTTTTTTAATGTTATCAGGCGGGGTTTTGGGGTTTTGGGGTTTTGGGGTTTTGGGG